AAGTCCCTGAACTACACAGCCCAGAGAGCAAAATAGGGTTTCTATTTGCTGAGTGGCACCGAAGAAAGGAAGGCTGGGGGAGAACAGGTTTATTCTGCCTGAAATTCCTAAAATTCAGGTCAGATTATTGGATAAGGAAAAGAGAAAGAAATAAAAATGTGTTGGAAATCAAGCTCCATGCCAGTCTGAGCTACAGCTACACAGTGAGACTCTGTTACAAATGAACAAACATACTGTCTTAAACACACACACACACACACACACACACACACACACGAGGCGGGGAGGAGTGGGGAGGAGAGCCTAGAAAGACAGTTTAGCAGTTAAGAATGCTTGCTGCTTTTCCAGAGGACCTGAGTTAAGATTCTGACACCACCTTTTGGCTTTTCGAGGTGTGCATGCACACGCACACCTAAATAAAAAGTGATACAAACAAATCTTTTAAAAAATACATATTGAGCCGGGTGGTGGTGGTGCAGACCTTTAATCCCAGTACTCGGGAGGCAGAGGCAGGCAGATCTCTGTGAGTTCGAGGCCAGCCTGGTCTACAAGAGCGAGTTCCAGTATAGGCTCCAAAGCTACAGAGAAACCCTGTCTCTGCTTGTGATTGGCGGGAGAGCAGGCACTGAGGTCATAAGAGCAGGAGAGCTGTCCCTGTCCCTCACTAGCTGCAGCACTCAGGAGAGTGGCTCCTGCACCTCACCTGGGCAACCCAGGGGAGCTGCTGGCCCTGATGGTGTAGGTGTGGGTGAACCGACTCTGAAGGCGTGAACACAGGACCTCTGGCTGGCCCTGCCCTGTGCTCTTTGCTGCGAGGGGTGAACTAGTCAGGGCAATGCTGGAGAGCTCACCCTGGTGCTGAGGACTGGAGCGAGCTGGCAGGCTGACCAACTCTGCAGCTACCCAGGCCCAGAACCATGGCTAGGAGTTGGCCCATCCCATCTGTGATCTACTGGAGCATGTGAAGGAGCTGGTTCTGCAGATCCAGAGCTGCAAGATCTCCATGACACAGGACAACAGGATATCCAAGAGGAATCCCAGTGAAGGCCCAGTATATTAGTGTAGTAGAAACCAGAGGCCTCAAAACAGGCCGATGACTATTTGTTTGTTTGTTTGTTTATTTTTCAAGACAGGGTTTCTCTGTGGTTTTGGAGCTTGTCCTGGAATTAGCTCTTGTAGACCAGGCTGGTCTTGAACTCACAGAGATCCGCCTGCCTCTGCCTCCCTAGTGCTGGGATTAAAGGCATGCGCCACCACCGCCACCCGGTCCAGACTAATGACTCTTTGCAATGAACACTTGCAAGTAAAGGTGTATGGGTAAAAAAGTTTACTGCTTGACTTACTATGTCACACTACAGCTTCCAGCCTCCATGATGAGATTTTTCCTTTTTCTTTCTTTTTTCTCTTAAATTTTATTTTATTCTATGTTTGGAGGGAGACTACAAGTGCAGATACAAAGGTATGGGGAAGGGGCTGGAGAGATGGCTCAGCTGTCCTGAGTTCAATTCCCAGCAACCTCATGGTGGATGACCATCTGTAGTGAGATCTAGTGTCCTATACTGGCCTACAGGCATATATGCAGGTAGAATATTATATACATAATAAATCTTTTTAAAAAACAATAACAACAAATAATATGAACTGAGAGATGAATTTGCTGGGTGTGGTGGCAGATGCATGTAATCCCAGCAGTTGGGAGACAAAGATAAGTGGATCTTTATGAACTTGAGGCCAGCCTGGTCTACATAATGATAGCAAGTTCCAGGCCAGCCATAGCTACACAGTGAGACCCTGTCTCAGAGTCTAAAAGTCGTAGTAGTAATATAATAAACAAAGAGATGAATTCAAGCCCCACTAACAATTACAGTATGGGCCCTCTTTGATCTATCTTGTCTAAAAAACCAGTAGCAGCTTGGGCTTGAGAGGGCTCAGCTGTTGAGGGGGCACTCCTGTTGTAGAAGACTTGAGTTTGGTTCCCAGCATCCATGTCAGTCAAGTTACAACCTTCTGGAACCCAGCTTCAGGAGCCCCGGATACCCCTGTTGTCTGTGGCAATGTGCCCACATAAGCTCACACATAATTAAAATAAATAATTCTTACATATAAAAGAATTAGCAACTTTTAGAAGGTTACCTGATTCTCTTGTACAAAAGGAGTCATGCAGCCAGGCTTGGTGCCACAGGTTTATAATCTCAGCTACTCAGGTGCAACAGGCAGGAAGATCACAAGTTCAAAGCCTGTCTGGATAAGTTAGTCTGTGTCTCAAAAAGTAAAAACGAAAGAGGGCTGGAGATGTAGAACACCTCTGTGGACCATACAAGGCCCTGGGGACCATCTTCGTGATTGGGAAGATAGAAAAAGCGCAAGCTGAGACTTACCTCCCTCAACCATCCATTCAGTGATGGGCCACCAACACACAATTTGTGTGTTTACTACAGATATGATGCTTTACTAATACAAAGCAATATAAAGATACACAGTGGTGAATCTCAACACTCAAGAGGCAGAGGCAGGCAGATCTCTGGGAGTTTGAGGCCAGCCTGGTCAAAAGTTCCAAGACAGCCAGGGCTATACACAGAGAAACCCTTCTCAAAAAACCATTTAAAAAATACACAAATTCCTACGGGGTTAACAGACTTCAAGGACAAGAACCAGGAAGTACACTTGATAGAAGAAATAGCAGGTCCTCAAGACAACATGAGGGCCATTGTGTGAACTCAGGAATGAAATTCTGAGAGTGGGAGGGGAGGGAGAGCACAGTCTCAACCTGGCTAGGCAAATTGCGTCCATTTGGAAAGGGTTTGTGGCTCCTTGTCATAAGTAACTCTTCTTGGAAAATAGCTGACTCTAAACGCTGGGGAAACACTTCAGGTCAGAATCCCTTGGGTAGTGTTTAAAGAGTGTCCAGAAGTGGGGGTAGAGAGTGGTTAGGGCTGCTCTTGCTCCTATGCCCACCTTCGCATCGCTCCAGGGTGCAGGAAAGGAAGAATGTTAATGCTTGCTTAGCTCTTCCAGATATCCAGAGTCCTATGTCAGCTTCATTTTTCTTTTCTATGTAGAGCAGGCTATTCTTGAGCTCATTATGTAGCCCAGGTCGGCTTCAGTTGCCTGAGTAGGGGGATCACAAACGTGTGCCACCACAGTTTGGTTAGTTTTGATTTGGTCACAGTTGTAGAGATGCTCAGCAGCAAAGAGCACTTGTTGCTCTTGAGAGTTCAGTTCCCTGCAACCCCGTGTCAGCGCACCACTCCAGGTACCAGACATACATGTGGTGCATATACATACCTGAAGACAAAACACTTGTGAACACTAAATAAATCTAAAAATGGAGACATGGCAAATGCAATTTATATATATGCATATTTTAAGTGTTAATATTTTTTATATATTTTTTTAAATTTATGTCTATGGGGGGGGTCTGTGTGAGTAAATGCCATGTGTATGTGCCTGTGGAAGCCAGAAGAGGGCATGATGGCCCTTGGAACTAGAGTTCCAAATGGTTATGATCGGCCTGGTATGGGTGCTAGGACCCACACTCAGTTCAGTGGAAGAGTATCAATCTTCCTAACCCTTTATACTTTTATATTTATATTATTTAACAAAATAATGTAGTTTTTTTTGGGGGGGGAACCTTCCTAGTAGCCATTCTTATTTTCTCTTGTTTTGCTCAGCATACAGAATAAACGGGTTTCATTATGAGAGTTTCATATGTAAGTATCACACTTGAATCTTGTACTTTTACCCCACTGGCTTCTTTCTTCTTCAAATTGGTCCCCACTTCTGCTTTCAGTTATTTACATTCTATTACTCTCTTTTAAAGTATTTTTTTTTTTTTATTTTGAGACAGGGTCTCAGTCTGTAGCCAAGGTTTACAGAGAACTCACTATGTAGTCCACACTCACCTGGAGGAAATCGTAGCAGTCTTCCTGCCTTAGCTGTCAGTGTTAGGATTATAGGAATGACCCATTGTGCCTGGCTTCAAAGGAACCCTTTTAACACCCCACACTACAGCTGTTTACTCAGTCGTTAAGCAATAGCCTCAAAAGTTCAAAGTGGAATTTTTTTGTGAACTTGTCTTGTTTGCACCAAGCAACTATCTGCCCTCATCTCTGTACCTATCCAGAAGTACTGGAAAGCTGAGCAGGTGGTTCAGGATGTAATCTCAGCCCTTGGGAAGCTGAGGCAAGAAGATGGTGACAGTCTATCTCACATTAAGATCAGACCAGCCTGGGCTACAGAGTGTGTGTGGGGGGGAGGAAGTGCTGTATTGGAATATTAGCCAGGTAGGGTGGCGTACACTTACAGTCCTAGTCCTAGGAGCTAGTGAGAGAAAAATCAGAAGTTCAAGATCATCCTTAGCTACATTGTGAACTCAAAGCTAGCTGGGCTACATGAGACCTTGTCTAGCAAAACAAAAGGGTCATCATACAGATCCTTCAGAAAGAAAGCGTTCTAGCTGCCTTTTAAACTGAAAATAAAGCTGGGCAGTGGTGGTGCACGCCTTTATTCCCAGCACTCGGGAGGCAGAGGCAGGCGGATCTCTGTGAGTTCGAGGCCAGCCTGGTCTACAAGAGCTAGTTCCAGGACAGGCACCAAAGCTACCCTGTCAAGGAACCCTGTCTTGAAAAAAACCAAAAAAAAAAAAAAAAAAAAAAAAAAAAAAAAAAAAAAAAAAAAAAAAAAAAAAAAAAAAAAAAAAAAAAAAAAAAAAAAAAAAAAAAAAAAAAACCCACTGAAAATAAACACAAGGAAATTAATGGGCAATTGGAAATACGACAGTAATATATTAGTGGGGAAAGAGGGCATTCTGTTGAAAGTAGCATGGAGAGTATTGTGCTATGTAATATATGTCTCTTATTATATGCACATACACTTATTATGCCTATAAAAGAAGTATCAGTGTTATTGGTTACCTGTGGGAGAGTAAATATAACTTTTAATCTTATATTACTTTACACTTTATATTGTTTGATATAAATTTTGATAATGAAAATGCACTTTAGTAGTCAGAAAAATAGAATATATTTTAATGAGAAAGAGTTTGCAACAGAGACTTGGCACTTGGCAGAAGACTCATTGGCAGTTGCACTGAAGTGTTTTCTAAGAGTGTCACCCAGAGTGATGACCCGAGCATTTGTGTCTGACTCTGGAGCAATCTTCAGACTGAAGTCCACATCCCAAAGTCCACACACGAGTGCCCCCTTTTCTCTGCTCTCGCTCTCTCATCTCCTAGTTTCCACGATCCTCTCTCCACTGCGGAAGGAATTCGAAGCTGTTGACCGATGAGGGAGTGGGGAAATCCTCAGAAGATTCTTTTGACAGGGAAAACATACTTTTGATTGTGTCAGTTTCTGTGAAGAAAATCAGTACAGATGTTACCCAATTTCACTTTTGCCGAAGAGCAGAACTGATGAGCACCGGCTTAGCCATGGCTTTCATCTTCTAGGAAATCTCACGATGCTTTCGGGTTGTGGGACATTCTGTTGTGGATGAGGGCAGGGGTGAGATGGATGCTGGCGTTAATCCTAAGAGCAAATAGAATCTTTTTAATAACTTTCCTACCAGACCTGGGGAAAAAAAACAGTGTTTTGTTTGTTTGTTTGCTCAAATATATGGCCAAGCAAAATAGCAGGTGTCCGGATAAACTCGAGGCAATGTTTTGAGTCACTACTAGGGTGCAAATGGTCCACTCACACATCCAACACAACACATAGTCTTTTGTCCCTGTCTGCTGTGTGCTGAAAGTGTGTTCTGTGGAATCTGAGAGGTTCTCCAGCTCTTCCGGGAAACTTTGCATCATCATTGTTTTGTGTCTGTCCCTTCCTCCTGGCTCAGCTTGTCCCCTGCTTAGTTAGTACACTTTCAAGAATTCTGTTGGGAACAGTACTTGACGTGAAAGGAACGGTTTCTTCTAGAGAACTAAGAAAACAGAGTCACTTGCCAGGCCTGGTGACACATACTGTAATTTCAGTGCATGAAAAGTGGGAGACAGGAGGATCATGAGCTGAAGGTCATCCTGGGATATGTACGTAGTTCAACACTAGCCTGGGCTACATGTAATATATATGTATATGAGGAATAGTGTGTACATGGAGGAGGGGAACATCAGCAGTTGGAACGGTTTCACGCTCTTGGGAAAGAAGCAGGACAACACGGGACAACACAGGACAACACAGGACAACACGGGACAACACAGGACAACACAGAACAGCACCGTTCGCTGCATCAGCTGCTCCAGTCCCCAGTTCTGCTTTCTCACCGAAATCCTGTCTAAGCAGGTCAGACTCTACTCGTAGCCGTGTCCCTGTGAGTGGGATCATTTTGTTCTCAGGTCTTTAATTAAAACCACATGCCGCTCATTGGTAAAATAGTGCCTAGCCAGGAAGTAGAGGCAGGAAAGTTGGGAGTTCAAGGTGATCCTCAGCTACACAGCAAGTTGGAGGCCAGCCTGGGCTACACACATAAAATCCAGTCTCAAAAAAAAAAAAATTAAATAAGACATAGCCAGGCCTGGTGGTTCACAGTTGTATTGCCAGCTCCTCTGGGAGGCTGAAGTAAGAGAGTTGAAAGCTCTTGGTCCACTAAGAGAGTTCCAGGTTCTGGGTAACTGGTGAGAACCTACCTTTCAAAATAAAAGTCACCTTTACAAAAGGGCTTAGTTATGTCCCAGTGGCATAGCACTTGCAGAGTGAGGACCTTGGTCCAAATCCCAGCATCAGGAAAGAAAAGGCTTAATATCAGACCTCCTTTAGGAATCCTGAATGTTTCAATCTGATTTTAATGCTATATTCTGCTGTCCTGAAACCCTTCAGGAATGGCTTATTAGAAGGGCTTTTGGGATGCTTAATGCTGGGTTCTCTTTATCAGGTATACTGACAGAGGCTAAGTCATTAAATCATAAGCCTGGGAGAGCAGATGCCCGTGTCAGCTCGCTGACAGCCAGTGAGCATGAAGAAAGCCGGGAGGGCAGCAGAGGAGCTGGGATGTGGATGCTGTCGGCTCCGGCTCTTTGGAGACCGCGTCTTGGCTTTCACTGAAGACAAGGTCATTCACAACACTCGGAGGCAGGGGCTTTGTCTTCATTTGCTGCGATGGACAGATAACCCATTTTATGGATGTACAAAGTGAATCACAGAGGCTTACGTCTGTGTCAGGTGCAGGGCATGAGGGTAGCTCTGTTGGCCCAGGGTCTTCCTTCACTGTCCTGGCATATATTTGATTATAAAGTCCCCGTGAAGATACGAGTGTGAGGGCTTCAGTCTGTAATGATTTGCAATAAGGAGACGGTGGCGCAGAAGACAGCACTGGCGTTCAGAGTGAGGCAAAGCCGAGCTCAGAAGTATGTCTGGTGGGTTATAGTGACGCCTGTAGTTGTCGTTGAGGCTGAAGAGTTAGGAGCATCTTGTCCAACCTAGAGATGGAAAGGACACACGAAAGGTAAGTAAGTGTGCAGATGAACCGACTCAGCAAGGGATCGCTGAGGAGAAAACCTATTTCAGTCCAGTACACCTGGGTTTCCCTCTTTACCTGCCTGACGGTTGTTCTGAGAAAACATGACACTTGCTCATGAGTCAAGAACCTATAAGCCACTAGCAGAGGGCCCATCGCCCATGTCTTGACCAGGTTTTCTGGAATGGAAAAGGCCCTGAGTGTGCGGCGACACTGGATCCCATATGCACAAGAATTCCACTTCCTTGAATCAAACCCAAAGAATCTCTTTATGTTTAAAGAGGATTTGGAAAGAGATTTTAGGATCTGAATATTTATTTTTGAAACAAGGTCTCTTGTACATCAAGCTGCCTCACTACGTAGTGGAGAACGCCTTGAACTCTTGCTCGTCCTACCTCTATCACCCAAGTGCAGGGAATATAGGTGTGTGCACCACACCTGTGGGGAGTGGATGAGTCCTGAGTGAATGTGTATTGCTAACATGGGCACAGCCATGCCAACGACCCCAGTGCCTCAGACCCATAGGAGTGGGAAGCCTTCCCCGGTGAGGTTCAGAGAAACGACAAAGCCTTCTTCTGGTCCTAGTGCCAGTGTTTACAAATGATTGCCCAGTGTGTGCAAAAACTAGAAACCACAGCTTCTCCTCCTGGATGACTGCAGCCTGGGACTGCTCCCCCAGAGACCTACTACTGAGATGAGCTAGACCTGCCTCCTTGTTCAGCTGTAGACCATGAGCCGCTTCTTTACCTGGGTGTGTATTATAAGCCTGCGTCCTTCATTCAGTTCTATAAAATAAATGAGCTGAAGTTCTGGGCAGCAGTCGGTGCTGTCCATCAGAATGAGCGGAACCCAGCTGATCCCCGTCTTTCGGTAAATGTGTCCCTGTGTCTGTCCTTCTCTCATTCCCTCATCAGCCAGTTAGGCCAGTCCTTGAAGCCATGCAGAGTGTGGCATACACCTGGTTTAAATATTTTAAATAATCCAGTTCCACCCTTACTGTGTTTGAGTTTATGACCTATCAGATTTTGTATGCATTTTCTAAATGCCCAACTATTATGAACGTTATACAGTTTTGTTTATAGGTATTCTGCCTACATGTATGTATGTGTGCCATGTGTGTGTGTGATACCTAAAGAGATCAGAAGAATGTGTTGGAACCCTTGGAACTGGAGTTACAGTTGTGGGCAACCATGTGGGTGCTAAGAATCAAATCCAGGTCCTTTGGAAGAGCGACAAGTACTCTTAACCACTGAGCATCTCTTTGGCACCTGCACAACTTTTAGATGTGTAGGTGGCTGCTTGCTTGTGGTACACCATATGTGTACCCAAGGAGGCCAGAAGAGGGCATTGTACCCCATGGAATTGGAGTTAAAATGTAGTTGTGAGCCACCCTGTTTTGGTGCTAAGAACTGGTCTTAACTTCTGAGCCACCTCTCCAGCCCCCTTAGGGAGCTTATTAAAAATTTAAGAATAAGATGAGCATGGGAGTAGAATAAGCTTCTTGGAAAGCTGAGATAGGAGGATGACTTGACGTAAAAAAATTAAGATTAGTCTAGGCAACATAGTGAGAACACATCTGAATAACAGTAATGATAATAAAGACCCCTGGTCCCAACTCTAGACATTACACATTTTGACTCAGTATATTTAGGTCCCAGACATATATATTTCTCTCTAACCAACTTCTTTCCCCACCCCCACATGTCTCTGTTCTCTCTTAGTATTATTATTTTCTTTATTTTGTTTTTGTTTAGATGGTATCTCCTGTAGCACAGGGTGGCCTCAGACTTCCTTATGTAGCTGAAGCTGAGGCTGGCTTTCAATTGTTGATTCTTCCTCTGCCTGATCATGCTAGTATTATAGATGCATACTGCCAAACTCAGCCAAATAACAATGTGTTTTTGCTTTGTTTGTTTGTTTGGCTATCCTGGAACTCACTATGTAGACCTGGGTGGCCTGAACTCAAAGAGGTCCACCTGCCTCTGCCTCCCGAGTGTCGGGATTAAAGGAGTGCACCACCACATCTGCATCTGTCCAGTTTTGTTTTGCTTTTTGTTTTCTGAGACAGGGTTTCTCTGTGTAGCTCTGGAGCCTGTCTTAGCACTTGCTCTGTAGCCCAGGCTGGCCTCGAACTCACAGAGCTCTACCTGCCTCAGCCTCCTGAGTGCTGGGATTAAAGGCAGGTGCCCCACTTCCTGGCCTGGCCAGTTTTTTGACACAGAATAATTCATCACATTTGTTTTATCACTGAAGCATTTGACCACATCTCATCACTTACAGGTTAGCATTGTTTTGTCTAGACACATGGCACAAACTATACAGAGAATACTTCCCTTCTCAGGCTGCAAGTCCTACTGGGACTCAGTTGTCCCAGGTTGCTGGTCTTCCTTTCTTTCCCTTCTCCATAGCCATTGCCATTGGCACCGCCTTCTGGCTCTGAGGCATGGACTCTGAAGAGAGAACGGCTGGTTATCATTTCAGTGGCTGGTACACATTGGATTATCTTCCAACCTTCCTGTCAAGTCATTTAAAAGAAACAATGCTCTGTTTTCTTACACTCCCCCCTTCCCCCCTTCTTTCTGTCATGTAACCTGACTGGCCTCAATTTTGCAAGGCTAGCCTGGAATTCCTGGTCTGCTCCCTACCTTCCAAGTACTAGGATTCTAGAAAAAATGCTCCTCTCTAAGGAAGACACTAACTAGAACCACACTTCCTAGAGAGTGGGAGAAAGGAGCTCACGTTAAGAGAGCACCTTTGATGTACTAGGTGCCTCTCAAACAGGATCCTGGTTCGCTGCCACAGCCACAAGCAAGGCTACATCAGGAATCCTGTTTCACAGAGAAGGCAGCTGTAGAATGGAGAAGTCAAGCAACTTCCCACAAGCCACTCAGCTGGTGCTTGCTTTCCTTACGCTATTCTGCCTTTCCAAGAGAAAGCAGCCTCAATTGGTGGAGCCAGGGACCCAGTTCCTCTGTGGACATCAGCAGACTCACTGGGCATGGGACTTCGAAGATGACAAACACTATAATGATGACTCCCCCAAGCAGCAGAGCAGCAGCAATCAGAGCTTTGGTGACAATACTCCATTTCTGCCTCTTCTTTAAGGACACATCTGTGTCTGAAAGGAAAGAGGGATGTAGAGAAAGAGAACATGAGCAAGGCTCAGCAGGACTGCGACTCCTCCTCAGACAAATCAGGGACTCCTGACTCAGAGACAGAGCCTGGTTTTCCACCTGGGGCTCAGAATCAGGTGCGGTGGCAGCATGGGCCCCTCACTAGCTTCTTTTATGAATGAGCCACCTTCCCTAGAATCTGGGATTCTCCAGAGTCATGCATGCTGATTCTTGCACTGTTCTTGGGAAGAAAAACCTGGGGTGCACAGGGAGCGCTTCACCCATTGTTCCCAGTCAGTCCTCTTGAAGTTCCCAGTCTTAAAAGCAAAAATCGTATCTCTTTCCATCTCTGCCATTGAAAAAAGAAAAAGCAATACAAATATACAGACATCATCTTCATTTCAGGTCTGGTGGCACGTACCTTTCATCCTGGCACTCAAGAGGCAGAAGCAGGCAGGTCTCTAAGCCCAAGGCCAGCCTCATCTATTTAATGAGCTCCAGACTAGTCAGGGCTACATTGAGACCCCGTCTCAAAAAGAAACAAAAACAAAATGAAAATTACCGCTCCAGTCTTGGTTTCCGAGGGTACAGGAAGAACAGCGGTGAATTGTCACTGCTTTTGAATCCTAAGCCAAGGCCAGGTCAGAAGGCTCCCATCTATTATATTATTACTGATCTCATTATACTTTTCCACTGGAATGAACCTGGGATGCAACCCAAACATGAATCTTATAGAATTTGAGTTTTGGCCAATTTAGGAAGGGCTGTTTTTAAAAACCAGCGAAGATGAAGACATGTTGGTTGGTGTCATCTCTGTTAGTAATTGCTTACTATTAAATATACATCTGTCCATGCAAGAGGCTGTTATGTACCAGTTGGATGTAGTCCGTTTCCAAATCTGAGGCCACTTTCATGAAATAAGGAATTACCATTTTCAATAAAAGATTTATTATATATAGTCGTGTGTGTGTGTGTATATGTGTGTGCGTGCATGCGCACACACGTGCGTGGTGTCTGTGTGACTTTATGTGCACTGGTGCATGCCTGTACCCTCAGGGACCAGAGCACATCAGATCCTTTGGAACTAGAATTACAGGTGGTTGTGTGAGATACCTGAAGTTGGAGCTTAACATTAGGTGAAGATGGTTCTTAACCACCGAGCCATCTCTCCACCCTCAAGGAAAGGATTATTGACTGTGTTGAACTACAAATGTTTCTGGGAACTTCCTTATGGAGAACCTTTTTTTTTTCTCTTATTAAAACATGGAATAATTTTTAAATATAAAGTAGCTTCTCAGCCTCCAAGAAAGTCCTAGGGGACCTAGAGTAATATTGGGGCTAAAATGTCTCTTTTTCTTCCTACTCTTGCTTTACCACCTCTACTTAATTTGTACCTTGTGATAAAGGGCTGGGAAAACCCCCAGTGCTTGTAGTTTTCTCTTCTTTTCTTCTAGGAGTTGTGGAGGTGGTAGTATTGGGTACCGTCTCTGATGAAGCAGATCTACTCTTTGCTGGGTAGACCTTGCAGTGAGAGATCCCTGGTAAGAAAGCTATAAAACAAAAAAGAAGCAACAGATGGACAACTGTAGCACAGCAAGCATCATCCTACTTTGGTTTTCTGTGACAAAACCCTAGATCTCCTCACTTCATACTGCATTTCTAACTGTGGCCCCATTGACCTGTGTGTTCATAGGTTTTAGGTGTAGGCACAGAATAATGCCAAGAATAAATGAGGCCAGAGATACCAAGAAGAGATATGTATTAAATCTCCAGGAATCCTTTGACTATAATCAGAGGGAAGGAATGAGCCATATCTTGCTTGTCTACCATTCTTGAGGTTATAATAGTAATAATAAAGATAGAGGGTGTGACCTTACTGAGCATTTCCTTCACTAATAGAGGTTCCAAAGTCCAGGGAAGAACTTGAGATGCATCACCTAAATGACTGCTGCAGGCCTGTGCAGTGCAGCCCCGTCAACTACTCTGAGAAGGCAGTGGTGCAAGTAAGAGGAGCTAGGAGATGGAAAGGCACCCAGCTTCATGTTCTCCTCAGTTTCATCATTTAATATTAAAAAAACCAGTGTCTATTATGTGCCAGGCACTGCTCCAAATCTTCTATCAGTTGGATTCATAATAACAGGGGTCAGGGCAGAGGAAGCAGAGACAACAATGACCTTATATATTTTATGACTGGGTGTAGTGGCACCTGCCTATAGTCCCAGCACTCGGGAGACTGAGGCAGGAAGATAACCTTGAGTTCAAGGCCCACTTAGGCTACATAGTGAGTACCAAGCTAGCCACAGCAGAATAGCAGGACCCTACCTCAAAAAACAAAACTAAACAAAAACATTATTCTATATTAGGGTAAGTGCTACTTAAAAACTAAAACTAGAGATGGGCATAGTGGCACATGCCTTTGATCCCAGCACTTGGGAGGCCAAGGTCAGCCTGGTCTACATAGTGATCAGGACAGCCAGGGCCACAAGGAGAGAGATTCTCAAAAGCACTAATCAATCAATCAATCAATCAATCAGTCAATCAATCAAGAACAAGAAGCCACTCATGGTAGCTCATCCTGTAATCCCAGCACTGGTAGGCTGAGTTGGAGGATTACCAAGAGTTCAAAGCCATCCTGGGGTAACTAATGAGTTCCTAGGTAGTCTGAGCTACATAGTGTAAGACTACGTCTTACAAGCCAAAATCAGGCATGAGAGAGATGGCTTGGTGGTTAAGAGTACTTGCTGATTTTTTAGGACCTGGGTTTGGTTCCCAGCATCACATCAGGCTTCTCATAAGTGCCTATAACTTCAGTTCCAGGGAATGCAGTGCCCTCTTCTAGCCGCTGTTGGCATCCGTGTACCTGTGATACACGTACATACAAATGCAGGCAGACACACATATATTAAAAAAATAAATCTTTAAAAAACAAAACCAGGCCAGGCAGTGGTGGTGCACGCCTTTAATCCCAGCACTTGGGAGGCAGAGGCAGGTGGATCTCTGTGAGTTCGAGACCATCCTGGTCTACAGAGCTAGTTCCAGGACAGGCCCCAAAGCCACAGAGAAACTCTGTCTCGAAAAACCAAAAAAAAAAAAAAAAAAACCAAAACCAGCAGCTAGTCGGTGGTGGTGCATGCCTTTAATCCAGCAAAGCCGGGTAGATCTCTGAGTTCGAGGCCAGCCTGCTCTACAGAGCAAGTTCCAGGACAGCCAGGGCTACACAGAGAAAGAAACCCTGTTTTAAAGAACAATAAGTCAATCAATCAAACAAACAAATAAAGAGCAAAAGAAATTTGCAAGACAAAGTAGTCGGAGGAATAGTCATAGGTAAGAGTTGGGCAACCTGCAGTATAGGCCAAGCCTCTCTGAGGTTAGAATTGAGCCAAGACTTGAGGGAAATAACCTAGGTGGAGGGGACAATGGAAATAAAGTCCTAAAGGCAGAGCGTGTCTGAAGGTTACAGTTATAGGGAAGCAGTAGGCAGCCAGTAGCCAGCATGGAGGAGCAAGGGAGAGGATGAGGACTGAGAGGATGCAGGAATCTAGGCTCTGTGTGCCAAGTTCAGGGCTTTGGAAATAAGGATCTGTTGCAAGGTTTTGATCAAGAGTGACCTTTTTGTGGGGAGGGTGTTATTATTTTTTGTTTGTTTGTTTGTTTGTTTGTTTGAGACAGGGTCTAACTCTGCAGCCTAGCCTGGCCTCCAACTCACAGTAGTCCTGCTTCAGATTCATAAGTGCTGCGATTACAGGTGTGAGCCACCATGCCCAGCCAAGATTCATTTTAATTGACCATTCACTGGACTGCTGTGTTAGAAAGGGACCGTTATGGGACAAGGGTAGAGGAAGCATCACCTGGTGGTGGCAGCAGATTTTGGAGACAGCAGGTGAGGGGTGACAGGATTCAGCCAGGGATAAAAGTGAGGAGGAGCAGATGAATTCTGGCTGTAGTCTGCACCCAACTCCACCTGCTTATAGAATGGACCTAATCCAATTCAGACAGTGGTGACTCTTCCACTCCACACCCTCACCCCTTGTACTTAAAAGATAGGGTGTGCCTATGTAGCCCATATTAGCCTAGCATCAAATGCACTATGGCCAGACTGCCCTCAAACATGAAGTGAGACTCTTGCCTTCCCAACTACTGAGGTTCTAAGTGTGCCACCAAAACTAGTCTTTTACTCCATTTGAAACTGTATTATTTCCTGGGGAGTGGTGCATGCCAAGGTGTCCAGGTTGAGGTCAGAGGATAACTTTGTGAAGGTGGTTCTCTATGTTTATTTGGGTGCTAGGGTTCAAACTCTGGTATTCAGGTTTGGATCATTGAGCAGCAAGCACCTTCCCCTTTGGAACCATCTTGTGAGCCTTTATTCCATTTTGCATGGTTTCTTATCATAACTTTTCTTTAGCTTTTCTAAATTGCTCTTTTTTTGTTTTAATTTTTTGAGACAGGGTTTCTCTGTCCAGGCTGTCCTGGAATGCACCCTGTGAACCAGGCTGGCCTTGACTCACAGAGATACCTTTGCCTCTGCTTCCTGAGCGCTGAGACTATAAGTGTTACCACCACCATCTGCCTCTAAATTACTGTCACACGTCTTTATATCCTTTAAAATTATCATTTGTTGTTGTTAATCGGCAGAGATGTTGAACAACTTGACAAGTAAAACATCAGAGTGACAGTTTTAACAGTTGTGTAGAGGGAACAATCGGACTCGGGCAGCTTTCAATACCAGTCATCATACAACAAATGACAGGCTAAATAGTGGTCCCTGATCTGAGTTGAAGTCTGGCTCCAGTCACTTCTCTTAAGTGGTAACATACATGTTTGAAGATAAGCAGAACTCACTTTGGACAAGTTACATAATTCTGAGTTTTGGTTTCCCTGTTTGCAATATTGTTGTAATAAAACATACTCACTAGCCGGGCGGTGGTGGCGCGCGCCTTTAATCCCAGCACTCGGGAGGCAGAGGCAGGCGGATCTTTGTGAGTTTGAGACCAGCCTGGTCTACAAGAGCTAGTTCCAGGACAGGCTCCAAAACCATNAAAAAAAAAAAAAAAAAAAAAAAAAAAAAAAAAAAAAAAAAAAAAACCAAAGAAACCATACTCACTATATCTATTTCTCAGAGGTGTTGTAAACATCAGAAATAAATAAAAACAAGAAAGCAGGTATGAAAACACTTTGCAAGCTGAGTGAACTGGGATTGAAAGATAAGGGAAAGCCTAGAGACTGTCTCTCTAAGCAGAAGAACTCCGTCTGGTAGCCAGAGGGATAATGGCATGGAGACATAGTCCCGTATTCCCATGAGAATGTGACTTCAGAGTCTACTGGGTAGGCTTCATCTGTCAGTGTACTTCCAGTCCTCTGAATTAATGTCCACATTGGCAGCCCATCTCTTTCAGGTCCTATCTCTGAGGTATCTGAACATCAAGGTAGAACAGGTTTGAAATACATTTTATTTCCTCCAGGTGGTGGTGGCATACCCCTTTAATCCCAGCACTGGGAAGAAGCAGAGGCAGGCGATTTCTGACTGAGATCAAAGTCATACAGAGTGAGTTCTAGGACAGCCTGGGCTATATAGAGAACAACCCTGTCTCAGAAAAAAAAAAAAAAAAACCACTTTATTCCATTGATGATGGGATTGCAAAATTAGTTTTTCTTTGGCTGAAGGTATTTGAACTGAATGCCCCAATTTAAGGTGACCATGATGGCACATGCCTCTAGCCCCAGGACCTGGAAGGCAAGAGGCAGGAAGGTCAAAGCAAGTTGAGATCGATCTGGTTTATTTGAAAGTTTCTGCCACTTAGGGTTACAGAATGAGACACTGCCTCAAAAACAATCCACAAGGACCTCCCAGCTTTCTAGGCGTGGTGGTACTCACCTTTAATCCCAGTGTTCTAGAGTAGAGTTCAAGGCCAGTCAGGCCTATGTACAGAATTCTAGGCAAGCAAGGACTGCATAGTAAGACTTCAGTGTTTTTTTTTTTTTTGCATAGAAAGACCCCAATTTAAGGAGTTTGGTTTTTAAAAATCCAACTTTATGAAATTCTTAAATACAATAATAATCCATAGTTTTAAAAGATTCTTTGTTGGGCTGGAGAGATGGCTCAGTGGCTAAGAGCACTGGCTGCTTTTCCAGAAGACCTGAGTTCAGTTCCGAGCAACCACATAGTGGCTCACAACCATCTGTAATGAGATCTGGTGCCCTCCTCTGGCATGCAGTCATACATGGAGGCAGAATGTTGTATACATAATAAATAAATAAATCTTTAAAAAAAAGATTCTTTGTTTAAAACCTAATTTTAAAGTAAAGCACATTGAATATATTTAGTCCATTTTCATATAAATTTAATATAACTTTTTGTTTGGCTGGATTTTGAGATAGGATCTAGTTAAGTAGCCCAAGTTAAACTTGAACTAGCTATGTATTGTTACTATTTTTTCTGAGACTGTGTTTCACTATGTAGCTAGACTGCCTTCAAACTTCCTGTCCTCCTGCCTTTGCTTCCCAAGTGCTGGGACTGCAGACATATACCACCATGTCTGGATAAATACATTATATTTAAATAGAGGTGTCATTTTCTGGTCAATCTCTTGTGAGTTTGAGGGCAGCCTAGTCTACATAAGGAACTCAAGGATAACCAAGGCTATATAGTGAGACCCTGTCTGAAACAAACAAAAATAATAAATAGAGGTGTCTCTTAGAGAGTATTCTGTAATAATACTCACAGGCTGAAGGGCCATTTGGGAGTCTTTACATTTGTTGTTAGGCTTGCATGCTAATGTTTAATCCTCTGTACCTCTGAAAACTAGACCATCTTGTCAGCCCTTCCAGTTGTAACTGTAGAAACTGAGCACTGGGAAAATGCCTAACTTGCCAAAGGCGATTGTTAATAATAAATACTAGTCATAATAAATACCAGTTCGATTTATAACATTTATAACTTCCATAACCCACAGTTTCATATGAAGTAACCAGATCTTAGATGTCAGTTCACACTGGTCAAATTATAAAGATCCTAATCCCTCTACTAAAATGACATTTGAAAAATGCTCACACAGCCCATGGGTGGTGGCGCACGCCTTTAATCTCAGTATTCTGGGAGGCAGAGGCAGGAGGATCTCTGAGTTTGAGGCTAGTCTGGTCTACAGAGTGAGTTCCAGGACAGCCAGGAACAGAGAAACTCTGTCTCAAAAAAAACCAAAAGAAGAAAGAAAGAAAAAAAAAAAGTCACACAAGAAGAAAATATTTGCCAGATGTGGTTGGACAGACCTTGATCCTAGCATTTGAAGGCAGAGAATCTTTGTGAGTTTGAGGCCAGCTTGGTATACAAAGTGAGTTCCAGGCCAGCCAAGGTGAGATTGTTTCAAAAACACAAAGTAGAAAATATTTATCAACTGGGTGAAACAGCTGTGTGTGGTGGTGCACACTTGTCATCTCAGCACTCAGGGAGCGGAGGCAGGAGAATCAGTAGTTCAGGCTTATTGTCAAATACGTAGTGAGGGGCACCTGAGAACCAGTCTTGAAAAGATAAAAATAAGACAAAAATCAGATAGGGTATTTTTATCTTCCTCGTGTCCTGTTAAAAACAGATGGGTCTCTATGAAACCTGATGGGTAACTGGAAAGCTTCTAAAAATAAGATCTGAGCAGTAGGAACAGGAACTGTACTGTAACTGATTGCCCCAGTTCCCTGTATGTTTCTGTGAGAAAAGCAACTTGGGCGTGCGCTCTATCAACTGAGCTACACCCCAGCCACTGTCTTGTGTTTCCCTTCTCCAGTTTATGTTTGGTCCATGTCTTGTTAAGACCAACTGTGCTGTGGAAAGTTCTTGTCCTTACAATTCCACATTCTTACTGACTTAGAGGAGCATTTCATTAATGCCACTTGATTATATTTTAGACACCTCCTCTGCAGACTGACGTCAGCCTGAGTGCATGTCTCCTGGGACCATCTAAGTCGGACTGTTTTCCTAGATTTTATTTCTAACCTATTTGAGGTCTGTTGCATCTTTGTGATTTAATGTGGTTTAAATTCAGAACAGGCATCTTCGGACTTTGAAAGAAAGTTCCTTTCAAAAGTCCATTCATAAGGTGGCTGTGCGGATTTGTCATGGTGGCTTTGTAAACGCGTCTGGCGAATGGTGATTAGGACCCAAACTAACCAAATATCCATTAGGTCTCTTTACACGACTCAGATCCTATAGGGCGCTGCCTCAGAGCCGGGATCTCAGAAGCATCTGGGAGAAGGAGGAAGACTCCTTTTCTCACAGCAACATACAGGGAACTGGGGCAATCAGTTTGAGCTCTTGGAAAGAGCTCAAAGCCTGGAGTCACCCCAAGGCAAACGTTTTCAATAGGGCAGGTTGATCTTTGGCAACTTTCCTCTCCCTTAACCCCCCAGTTTTCCTGGTTCAGAATTTCTGACAGCTAATGTCCTTAATTACCTCAGGTCCCACAGTGTATAGCGTGATGGTGCCACTCAGAGAACTGGAAGATGACTTAAGGCCAGTACTGCGGTCAGGTCAACAGGGTGTCACACAGTAAGAGGAAAAGGCCCAAATAAATTGATATTGAGTGACTCTTGGGTTTTAAGAGCCCTCCTAGTGGTAGAGTTTAATTAACTACTTAATCCTTCCTTCCTTTCTTTCTTTCTTTCTTTCTTTCTTTCTTTCTTTCTTTCTTTCTTTCTTTCTTTCTCTTTCTTCCTTCCTTCCTTCCTTCCTTCCTTCCTTCCTTCCTTTCTTTCTTTCTTTCTTTCTTTCTTTCTTTCTTTCTTTCTTTCTTTCTTTCTTTCTTTCTTTCTTTCTTTCTCTTTCTTCCTTCCTTCCTTCCTTCCTTCCTTCCTTCCTTCCTTCCTTTCTTTCTTTCTTTCTTTCTTTCTTTCTTGAAACAGGACTTCATATAGCCTAAGCTGTCTTCAAAATCAGTATGTTGTATATTTTGGGACTTCACATAGCTCAAGCTGTCTTCAAAATCAGTATGTTGTATATTGGGATTATAGGTGTACCCCAATAGTCCTAGGTTTTAATGGTAGAATTTCTCTTAATTATAATAAAGTGACTGAAACATTCAAGTCATGTAAGAATAAGTAATTTACCATTCTTGGGCTTTATCCCAAGAAAATGTCCGCCCCTTATTTTTCAATCTTTACTGTAGGTTTTAAAAGTTTCTTTGTGAGTTCAAGACCAGTCTGGTCTACAGATTGAGTTCCGGGACAGCCAGGGATACACACAGAAACCCTGTCTTGAAAAACAAACAAGCCAAGTAGCCAAGTTTATTTCTACGTCATTTTGCTTGCGATCCCTCTACTTTGCAGTGTCTCTAAGCACTGACTGTTATTTTCCAACACTATAGCAGCAGAGCCTAAACGACAGCCTCGTGCGAAGTGAGAGCTGTGCACTAATCTATTGTTCAGGAACTACTCGACAGAAGGAATGTGTGAGAGAAGGGAAGGATGGCAGAAGTTGAAATCAAGAACTGCTGCTGTTGGGGAATAAGCAGCTTCACACAGGGCAGATAGCAATGGAAACTGGAACCGCCACTGTGGGGCCTAAATGAGCACCAGCTATCAGCTGTCGATGTGGCAGATCTGCTTCTTGGAGTTCTTTTTCTTGATAAATAGTAGATACACAAGAGAACTGTATAATATCATTGTTTGTATTAGTAAAAAAAATATGGAAATAACCAAAATTGTCACCAGTGGAGAACTAGGGAAATAAGTTACAACTTAGTAGAATACCATGAAGAAGAATGAGGTAAGGCTGGTGACATAATATGCTAAGAAACAGACATGTGCTTAGCATGTTCAAAGTCTTGGATTCAATATTCTACAACCCAACCACACATAGTCAAATTTATGACTGTGGACATAGGATAAACCCGTGCACGTGGAAAACCAGGGTGCAGAGCAGGGTGGATGGTGTGGTACTGCCCATGCTTTTCACATTTGCAAATGATCTGGGCACGGGGTCTCATGCCTGTATTTCTAGCACTTGGGAGGTAGAGGGAGGAGTTTCGGGAGTTCAAGGCTAGCCTGAGGTATACAGCAAGCTGGAGGCCATCCTGGGCAATATGAGACCTTATCTGAAGCGGGGGATGTATGCACACCTATTCATGCATGGAAGGAAATACAGTAGGTAATAGTGGTTCCTTCTATCCTCAGGGACAGAGAACTGGAGGATTGAGAGACAAGAGTAGGAGGGAGGATTACTTTTCACTATAAATATGCGATGTTTGTAGATTTTACTGTGCACTAAAAAAAAAAACCAAAATTCAAAAAATATCGGTGTTTTAAAAGACATTTGTTTAACTATTTGCAGATGAATGCAAATGTAAATTGCCCATAAATAGCTGTCCTGGAAATCACAATATAGAGCCAGCTGGTCTCAAACTCACAGACATCCTCCTGCCTCTGCCTCCTGAGTGCTTCACACCTGGCCCACAACTATTGTTAAAAGAAGACACACCCACCAGGTGGTGGTGCATGCCTTTAGTCCCAGCATTTGAGAATTCGAGGCCAGCTTGGTCTACAAAGCTAGTTCCAGGACAGCCAGGGCTACACAGAGAAACTTTGTCTTGGGGGGGGGGGGGGCAAGAGAAGAAAAAAAAGAAGACAAAGAAGACCCACCCATCAGAAATGAAGACCAGCTAGGCGTGGTGGTGAAAGCATTTAATTCTGGTAGTCAGGAGGCAGAAGCAAATAGATTGATGTAAGTTTGAGGCTAGCCTAGTAGACATAAGCAGTCTAGTCCAGCCAGGGATATACAGTAAGAACTTGTCTCAAAAAATATTTTGTATCTTATGAATATCACAGGACACTAGGGCCAGAAGGAGTCTTAGAAACTAGAAATATGGGACCTGGGGTCAGTGAAGTGGACCAGTGGATAAGGGCATTTACTACCGAATCTATTTTGTCTGACTCCCAAAGGTGGCTTCAGTTGTCCTCTAACCTCCATATACATGGCCATATTTACACATTTGCATGCTTGCTCATGCGTGCGTGCGCACACACATACACACACACACTCACACACATACTACTAAATATATAAATATAATTTAAAATTATTGTTAAAGAAATTAGAAAACTGGTTCTCAGAGAGGTCCCTTATTTTTTCCCAAGGGGAGAATAGTTTGTTTCACTGTGGCTTTGGCTGCTAACAAATACTGGCCACCAAGGATGTCAACTGTAAGTTCCTGTCAACCTACCTCTAGCAGCTCTTTGGTCTCACTTTACCTGTTAGAAGCTATCCATTCTGAAACTGGGAAGTGGGCCTGAGGTGACAGCTTGGGGAGGCCGTGCTGTTTCTATGGAGATCAGCAAAGACTCCTAGGTTCTTCAGCGTATACTTGACCTTTGGCCTTCTCTCTGAATATGCAAGATGGACTGTCACTCTCCTCCCAGAGCCACGGCACTGCAGGGTAGTTATAGTCTGATTTTCATTGAACGGGGCCTCTTTGATGTCTGGGTGAATTTCTGGAAGAACTAAACGGAAAAACAAAGCGGGTTCTTAATCTGCATTGTGCAGATAACTCACTTTCATTCGTGACTCCTGTTGAACTCCACGGCTGCACTTTGCCCTGCTTTGGTTCACCTCCTCTTCCGTCCATGTTTATGGTACTAACCGTGCCTGTTCTGCTCTCCTTCCTGCAAGGGGCCATTGAAGACAAGTGACTGCAGTAAATCCAGCACAGAGCAATGCTCATAGATTGTTTTCCTAAATGCAGAGAGGACTGAGTGCTATTTCCTTCTCTTCTTCATCCCCGTCTGATTTATACAGTCATACGTTAGGCAACAAGTTAATATAAAAATTCATTTCCAGACATTCTCCTGAGGAGATATCTGTCTTTAAAATAGCACATTTGAGATCTGGACTAAGAAGTGTGGCATTTAAAAAAATTTATCATGGGTGTTTTGCCTGCATGTATATGCATAGCCACTGGAGCTGGAGTTACAGACAGTTGTGAGCTGCCATGTGGGTGCTGGGTATTGACCCCAAAGTCCTCTAGAGAAGCAGCCAATACTCTTAACAGCCGAATCATTGTTCCAGTCCCCAAAATGCATTTTTTTAAAGGTTAAAAAGAAAATCCTGGGCTGGGTGATGGTGGCACACACCTTTAATCACAGCACTAGGGAGGCAGAGGCAGGTGGGATCTCTGTGAGTTCAAGGCCAGCCTGATCTACAACGTGAGTTGTAGGACAACCAAGGCTACACTGAGAAACCCTGTCTTGAAAAGCCAGAAAAAAGAAAGAAAAAAAGAAAGGAAGGAAGGAAGAAAGGAAGGAAGGAAGGAAGGAAAGAAGGAAGGAAGGAAGGAAGGAAGAAAGGAAGGAAAAGAAAATCCTGGGGTGGCAAAGAGAATTTCCAGAAAGGTCTCTATTCCCTACCTCTTATTACCAAATCCTTGTGGCTTCTCACATCCTTTGGGAAGAAGCTGGGCAGCTGTTCCACTTGGCAGCTGCTCTCTCTGGGGTCTAGGAAGGAAAAAAATGGGTCAGGATGTACTGGTTCCTCTCCCTTTAGAATTCTGGGAAGAGATAGGTTTCTGCTTATAAAACTTAGAACTGTAGAGATCAAATACTCCCTAAAAAGAGATTTTAAAACACATGGCCAAATACATTTAAGTAGGAATTGTTCCATTATAAAGAAAACTGAATACCGATGTATTCTTTCTCAGAGAAAGAAAAGTGAGAGATGTAATTGCTAAGTTAATGAAAGAATAACCCATCTATTCTCTTTAAACAGTTTATTTTCTCGCTCACTCCTGTTCTATCTGCCTGGTGTATTTTTTTTTTTAAACAGACAGGGTTTCTTTGTGTAGTCTGGAACTCGTTCTGTAGAACAGGCTAACCATGAGCTTAGAGATCCACCTGCCACCACTGCTCAGCTTCTGCGTGCTGTATTAAGGAGAGAACCTTGAAGGTTTAATATGCACTCCCTTGGATATAGGCTCTCTATAGTTTTCCACAGCGCTATAGACCATACTTATTTATGTTTTGTGGTATGTGGTTCACAGGGTGTGGGAATTTTCTTTCTCATTTTTTTTATTTTCTTTTTTTTCTCATTTTCTTATTTTCTTTTTGAGATAAGGTCTCACTATGTAGCTCTAGCTGGCCTAGAACCTAGCTGTGTGGACAAGGCTGGCCTTGAATTCAGAGAGCTCGCTGCCTCTGCCTTCCAAGTGCTGAGAATCAAAGCATGCTGTAGTGGCTAAAGGATTGGCTCAGTGGGTAAAGGCACTGGCTGCTCTGGTAGAGGACCTGAGTTCAATTCCCAGCTCTTCCTGCCGCCACTTCCAGGGGATCTCATGCATGTTCTCTCCCTCCAGTGGCACCAAGCACACATGTGGTACGCAGACATACATGCAGGCCAAACATTCATATATAAAATAAAATGAATAAATCTAATAAAAAAATTTAAAAATCATTCTCTACCACATCTAACTTCAGCTGGTTTTTAAGAAAAAGAAGAAGACTGTAATCTATCTCTCTGTAGCCCAGGCTGGCTCTGTTCTGATGGCAATCCTCCTACCTCCATCTCTCAAGTGCTTGGGTCACAAGCGTGAATTTTTTTTTTAATTTGCATAAACATGCTACTGCTGCCCCTTATACTATGTTGCTTTAACCTCCAGCTAGCTAATTTTAGAGAAGGAATGTTTAGGAAACTCTGGAAAAAAAATCGTATTTTAAATAAACATTTACTACCAGGGCAAAGGCAGAGCTAAGTGGCCGAACACTTGCCCATCTTCCTAAGGCTGGCTTTCAAGCCTCAGCAAAAAACAAACAAAACTACAAGTCAATCAACACTTACCAAAGAGTAGCAAACAGTGCCGCCCCACCCCCATATCACCTTTCCCTCAGTTCACCCCATTAACATCTCCATTTAAATCATTTGAGTGTACCACCTTAAAAACGAAGGCAACATCTTATGAGGGGTTATTACAAAACTGTGGTACTGTCTCACAATGAGAGCTGTCTGACCATGTTTTTATTGTTATCCCTGTGAGCGAGGAAAAAGAAGGCACCACACTCCCTGAATACTTCTTATGAAACAGATAGATATCTCCTTGGGTTTAATGATCAGATATATGGGCTGATTTCTGCAAAGTACAGCTTGGGTATTGGTAACATTCCTATCTGATAGAAGAGGCTCCAAATTCTTTCTAGGCTTCCTTTTAGTTGTTCTAGCATATTATGTTAGAGAAGTACTTACCGTTCTTGTTGGAATCAAAGGATGCAATGATTAGACTGAAGACTAAGATGGTGTCCATGCCAACCTGACCTCATGAGCACTTCTTGCCTACAGCCCACTGTTACTCCGTCCCAGCCCCTTACAGGCTTTGCCTCTTGTTGCTTCTAGTGTTCTGAAACCAAGTTTCACTCTGACTGTCTGCTTCTACCCTGACTATTTTGCCTTGTTTCCTGAAGACCCAGGAATCTACTGATTGGAGAAAGAACAAAAACTGCTTATTAATGATTGACTTTGATAGTCTGCCCTGACTTCACTGCTGATGCCAACTCTGAGAACTGTCATTATCTTGAGGTTTCCCTCACAGAAAGTGCATAAACACCCAAAGATATGCTTTATAAATACTTGCAGATAGACACGTAGTCACTCACAAGTGTGCTCTCTGATGGAGGCACATAGGTATACACACCAACATTAAGAGATATGGAGATGCCTATTAAGAGGTACAATTTCTAGCACTGGAGAAGAAACTATGACTGAATGAGTCAGTGCCTTATGCTGGGGAGAACATTGGACTTTAGCAATCACTACAAGTGAGTTCTAGTTCAAGCCTTTTTGGACACCTTGGAGAAATTACATGGCTATTCAGACTCAGTTTTTCCCTTGTATAAATTGAGTCTCAACCAAAAGATCTCTGGAATTCATTTACAATTATAACCATAAGTTCACATGAGCATAGGCATACCTGTCCAATTGTGTATATTTTCACATTCATGAATAATGGAATGAGTATAGTCAAAAAGAGGTATGAGAAAGAGCTACCTACAGTGCATGAGTACTACTGTCTGCAGTTGACAGTAGCTGCTATTAAATATATATAATAAGTATTATGCTATAAAGACTTTTTTTTAAAAAGAGGTCTTCCCATATGGCCCAGACTTTCTTGAAACTCATGCTGTATTCCAGGGTAGCCTTGAACTCATGATCTTCTTGCTTCTGCCTCCCAAGAAGAGAGATTATAGGTGTGTATCACTATGCCCAACTCTGAAGACTTCTTGATAGCATCGCTAGGTGAGGTCATAAAGAAGAAAACGTCTAGTTAGATATTTATCAATGTCCAGAGCCTTCACAGCCTTCCTGCCCGCTGTAAATTGCTTCACTGAAGCCAACATGGGCTTAGCTATGCATGAGAAGGTTCTGGAGGCTGAAACTTTTGATTGATAGTCACATAAAGAGTTGGTTCAAAGAACTTTCCATAAGGGCTTTGTGATATTTTAATCAAATTACAATAAGTAGCACCCTGTGTCCTGACACATCAATACAGCTTGAAATTTGGCCAAACTAAGCATCAAAATCTTGGTGGAAAACATTAATGGAAGGGAGATCCTTGAGGGACAATCTGTTGGCTCAAATAGAGAAGGGATAAAAGAAGCACCGGGCGTCCAGCCCAGCAGCAAATCCCTGTGGGCCTCTTCCTCTCCTGCAGTTGCTTTCCTAGGTTCTCATGGTTTTTGTTGACAGTTAGTTCCCTTATTGTGTTCAAATGATTCTCTACTCCCTTGTGGTGTTGACACATTCTCTGCTGTTCTGTTTAAAAACTGCTGTAGCTGCCGCATGACAGTGCTGCCACCTCGCAGCAAGGGTGGGAATGACTCTGAAGTCTCATTTCTCACCCTGCGTCATAAAAGAGGAAAATCTCGTTTTTTCCCAAGAGCAATCTCATGCATGGCTAGAGATGAAATTGCAATTTTATTTTATAAATTCTTGGAGATGTTTTCTTTTCGTGTGTGTGTGTGTGTGTGTGTGTACACGTACTAGGGACTGAACCTACTCATATATGCCCTGAAGTCAAATTGAATGTTGAAGCATGCCACACTGTGGAGCAGAGACACAAAACTAAAATTAAAACAAAATATCTAGTGGTAGAGATGATGTGTCCTGTCGTGACCTCTGAAAGAGAGTAGGAAATAAGACATGAATAGTCACAGTGGGTCTGCAAGAGAAACCCTTGACGAGAAGTTTGGTTTTTCGAGACAGGGTTTCTCTGTAGCTCTGGGGCCTGTCCTGGGACTTGCTCTGTAGGCCAGGCTGGCCTCTATCTCACAGAGATCTGCTTCCCTCTGCCTCAAGAGTGCTGGGGTTAAAGGCGTGCACCATTGCTCAGTGCCAGGACAGCTTCCAAGGTTGTAGTTGAGGCTTTGTAATTGAATCATTTCAAGGAAGTTCCTTAACCTCTTTGGGCCTTCATTACTGCAGTCCTTCTACCATGTGGATTCTGGGAAATGAACTGAGGTTGCCAGGCTCCACAGTAGGCACTTGGCCATCTCACTGCTGGGTCAGAAATTAATTTATTTCTTCAGACAGGGTCAAACTCGAACTTGTGACAGTCTTGCCTTAGTCTCCCCAATGCTAGGATTATGGGGATAAACTACCATCTCCAGTTTAGGAATTATCTAATCCTTTTTTTTTTGTAACATTTTATTTATTTATTATGTATACAGTGTTCTGTCTGCACGTGTGCCTGCAGGCCAGAAGAGGGCACCAGACCTCATACAGATGGTTGTGAGCCACCAGGTGGTTGCTGGGAATTGAACTCAGGGCCTCTGGAAAAGTAGCCAGTGTACTCTTAACTGCTGAGCCATCTTTCCAGCCCCTATTATCTAATTCTTATGACCACAAATGAGTTTTGCCTTTGCCTTTTTTTTTTTTTTTTTTTTTTTTTTTTTTCTGGTTGGTTTTGCTTTTTTGAGACAAGGTTTCTCTGTGTAGCCCTGGCTGTCCTGGAACTCACTCTGTAGTCCAAGCTGGCCTCAAATTCACAGAATGCTACCTGTCTTTGCCTCCCAAATGCTGGGATTAAAGGCATGTGCCACTACTGCCTGGTGAGTTTTGCCTGTTTTAAATAAAAATTTCTTGTTAAAATTTTTAGGTTAGTCAGGAAGTTTAACCAACTATACCCTTTTGCCCAAACATTTTTCTTACAAATGTTCACTGCAATGATTATTGGTCTGGTTCAAGGCCTCTGGCTTCTGCTTCCTCATCACTACGGGATATTCACTGAGAGCTGCAGCTCGATCCTTTGGCTTTAGTTCCACAGGCCTAACTCTCACTTGATCCAGCAACTCAGATATTTAAAAAAAATTTTTTTTGAGGGAGGGAAGGAGGTTACAAGCGTGGAGGGCAGATATGGAAGGACTTGGAAATGAGTGGGAGGGGGTGCATAATGTGAAATTCCCTAAGAATCAATAAATAGTTTAAAAAATTTTAGGCTTGAATAAAAAGCAATGGGGAACCTTTGTGGTAACCTTTATATATATGAATCATTACACTTTGTTGTCATTCATTCAGATTTTTGTCTCTTATTTAATATTTATTTTTAATTTTTTTTTTTTTTATTGAGAAAAGGTCTTAGTATGTAGTCCTGACTGGCTTGCAACTTGGTAGACAGATGAGGCTCACAGAAGTCTGCCTGCTTCTGCATCCTGGAATTAAAGGGATATGTCACCACTCCTAGTCTCGTCTCTTCTTTTTTTCTGAGACAGGGTTTCTCTGTGTAGCCCTGGCTATCTTGCATTTCATTATGTAGACCAGGCTGGCCTCAAACTCAGAGATCCATGCGCCTCTGCCTCCCAAGTGCTGGGATTAAAGGTGTGCTCCACTGCTGCCCCACTGCCTTGTCTATTTTTTAAATTAGAAACTTATGTATGTATGTATTTATTTATTTAATGTCTCTTTACACAGCTGACTGTCCTGAAATTCACTTTGTAGACCAGACTGTCCTGGAACTCAGAGATCCACTTCCTTCTGAGTGCTGGGATTAAAGTCACACATCACTACGCCCAGCTCTGGCTTTTATTTTTTGTTCAGTACTAATTTTAAAATTGATTCATAATGTTTCATGTAGCAACCTTTTTTTTTTTTTTTCCGAGACAGGGTTTCTCTGTTGCTTTGGAGCCTGTCCTGGAACTAGCTCTGTAGACTAGGCTGGTCTTGAACTCACAGAGATCTGCTTGCCTCTGCCTCCCGAGTGCTGGGATTAAAGGCGCGTGCCACCATCGCCTGGCAGCAACCTTTTTTTGTAATTACCTTTATAATATCCCATTTTATGAATGTAACACAATTTAAATACTCTATTGTTGTTAATATTTTGGATCATATTTGAAGGTTTCCCAGAATATAAATACAAAGGTTGAAGCTGGATTAGAGGGTATGTAAGTTAGGCTCAGCTTGACTATTTATAGTAAATTATTTTCTAAGAAGTTGTTTTCAATAGTAATTCCATTTGCAACATATACCTGTTCTATATTCTTTAAAAAAATTTTTATTAGACTTACTCATTTTGCGTGTAAGCGTTTAGCCTACATGTATGTATATATAGCATGTTCATGCATGCTTGGTGCCTTCAGAGGTTGGAAGAGAGCATCAGATCCCCTGGAACTGGAGTTATGGGTCATGGTGAGCCACCGTGTGAGTGGTAGGAATCAAACCTGGGTCCTCTGCAAGAGCAACAAGTACCCCAAACCACTGAGCCATCTCCTCAGATCCTTGTTCCATGATCTTGACAGAGGGGCCAAAGAACTGTCCCAGTATGACATAAAAGGAGCCTGAGCAGATCCAGGTATAGCCCTGTGGTTGGTCTCAAAACCTTAGCTCATGGACATTTGCTCCCTCTCTGCAAGCACATGCTCTGCTATCCTGAATTAATAACATAGAATTCAATGCCACAGAACTCCCGAAGCGAGTGGGCATCCATTGGAATGTTTTCTAAGTACTCATAGAAAATGTGTGAAGGGGGAATAGGGAGGAAAGAACAAGTAATATTTTCTATGTGCTCCCTATGTTTCAACTCTACTAGAGGTACTTTACATTTTGATTATATTTCATCTAAAAGATCACACTATATAGCTAATTGTATAGTCAAGGAAACAGAGACACAGAAAAGGAGTTACTTGTTTACAGTCTAATTAGTGACAAAGCTAATTAGTGACAGGCTTAGGATTTTAGGCCGGTCTTTCTAATTAAACAGCTCAAGATGGGTGTGTTTCTGTGTTTGTCTGCTTTGCTTTTTAAATAATGTATAGCACAAAAGAAGCTTCCCTTATCTGTGGCTTAGATTACCAAGAATCAATTCTTCTAAATTTGTATGGACCCCTATTCAAAAGATTATGGGCGCTTCATCCATTGATGTAAGTCGCATTTCCTTTTGATTATCATCCTCTTGTTTCCATTAAGTAAA